TTATTTCATTCAGCTATAATTTATATTGTTTCATTTCATTGCACTGCACCCTTCTCAACTGGAAAAAACGCCTGCAGTGATTCAACTTATTAATTTAATGGGATGGTTGTTAGGGTATGATTTTTCTTTTCATTCAATATATTCTAAATGTGATTATCTCAGTGTCATGCAGATTCATTCAACTTCGACTAAGCAAACTGCTCTATCTGGTAATTTCGTCAATTAGTCATAGTTTTTGCAAGTGATCTCGAGATCATGACTTTAAAATTTTTGATCAAAGGTTTTCCCGGACTCATGTTCTTAGAATTCGCAGGATTTCGAGATTTGATAACATCCGACATTTTTTAAAGTTTCATTTATATGCCCATTTTGAATTACATATTGACCCTTCCCAATTGATTCATATTCACTAATATTCAGCGTTCACCATCTAAAAGGCAATAAACAGATAAATCATCACATGACGATGCCNCCCACCATAATAATCGCTTTTCATAAAGCAATGAACAAAAATTTCGTAATGCCATCGTTCCTGCTTCGTCTTTCGTCTTCTCTCTTTTGCTTTTCGTTGCGTTATGATCAATTTTTGATCCAGGAATTGTAAGATGATTGCGGTTTTAGAAGCGTTAATCAGTATCTCATAATGTGTCAGTTCATAGTTTCAGAAAATATGGATTCAGCCCGTAAAGCTCCGAAGGATGACTCTCAAAAATTTTTGGATGACGATGGTGTCAAATTCAAGGAGCTATCACCCGATCAGTATCGAAAGGTTTGTCTCAACTATGGTTTAAAATAACTTCGTATCATAACTTCTTTAAACTTGTTTCAACCACCTCATTTCGATGTGGTGCACATTCAGATGGCATTGAAGTGGGAAATGCTTGAACGTTTCGATTTGATCCCTATGTATCATTAAGCAGAACAATTTCATTTAGCGACTGTTTTGAGGAGGTTCTTGAATGTCAAATAGACAATTGAACACCCACCCTTGTTACTCATTCACATATTCTTCCTCAAACATTTTCGTCTCAATTTCCTCTCTTTTCAATGTCACGTGTTCAGACAGAGTGATTCATCGCCCTCAGCTCTATGTCAAACGTGAATTCGATCAGATCAGAATATCGTCAAGAAATTCACCAAAAAAGTCTGGACTATCGGCCATCTTGTGGTCTGAGAACGTTGTTTGGAACACTCAATCAGGTTTTTTGATC